TTGCTACGCACGATATGCCTTTAATTTGTGGGTGGAAGCCTCTGCCCATGCACTCCTATAGCATGTAGACGTGCATACTCAGAATGCTAATACCAGACTCTCAGGTCTGCCTTGCACCTCTCAGACCCCATCCCTGGAGGGTATCAAAGCCTTCCCGTCGGTTGCAACCCCTTTCCCAACAAATGCACACTCCTCTGGCACATCGACACCCCCCACCGATGAAAATGACATCTGCTGGTTCCATCTTCCACAGATGAGGAGCTTGATATAAACCCTGCAAAGGAAGCAGTCGCTGAACCAGAAATAGGCAGCCAGTACCTGCGTTCATCCCGAGATCATCCCGTCACTCCGGATTTCCACACAAAAAGCCTTCTGGGAAATCGTAAAGAAAGAAATGCCTGAGGCTGCGTACCTACCACGGATTTCAGGTACTCGTGGATTGAAAGGTGGTGCAGTGATTAAATAGGATGCTGAATTCTTCTCTGTATGACAGTAAGTGTAGAAGCCTCTGAGAAGATAGGCGTGACCATCACTCCTGTCTCCTAGTTCATTTTGTACCAACAGAGATGTACCACAGGTACAGAATGAGGTACTTAGTATTTTTGTGGGGACTTCTGCCTGAACAGAATGGGGGTTGTCATGCCTACGCGCTGTACTTGGATCATGTGGAGAATAGAGAAGTGATTCTCCGAAAGATTTGCTATAAAGTGCTTCTCACTCTACCCAGAGGAGGCACTAAGGGAGAATGATGCGTTGTTCTGTGTGGTGTTATGTCAAACCTGCCTTTGGGGCTGGGAAAGTTATAATCAGAGTTGAGAAAACCAAATGTCATGTCTGCATCTTTCCCAGTTTCCTTAAAAGGTGACACCAGACCGAAAGGTAAGATGCAGAGTACGGGAAATTCTCCTGATGTCCGCCGCACTGTAGGCAAAGAGGAGCCCCCTTTAGCAGGGTCTTGCCCCACCACGAAGGCTGCAGCTCCCCGTGACAGCAAGAACTTCCCTGATAGTGGGAAATCCTGGTTGTAGGACTTGTGTTAGCCTTCACACCTGGGAGAAAAGGAGGTGGACTAGCCAGATAAATCTCTGGAAGAGTTCTGCCTCACTCAATTTCTTCATTTAATACGTACCCCTCTCTCACTCACTCACTTACACACACACACACACAGTCAAGCCAGATGTGCATTCACTTGTGTGTATACCAGTCAACCAGCTTCCCACACGGCCGTCCCCACCATCCATGGACACCCACGTCACACACAGAGCAATTAAAAAAAAAATCCAGGCGGCCCAAGAGACTAATAATCCTTTTTTCTCTTTTCTCTCTCATTTTTCCCCCTAAAAAAGGCCTTTTTAAAAATATATATTAAACCAGGTAAATTTTTACTCATATGTTCACGTGGCTGGAGCAGATTGACAAGAAAAACAATCACAAAATAAATATTTTGGGGGTTTTTTGTTTTTTTTTTTAAAAGAACATTTCCCTATACATGGTCTCTCTCTTACTTGCCAGAGCTGCTGTCGTGGACCAAACGGGTGGTGCGGTTGGAAGAGGAACTCTGGCTGGGCCACGGGGAACCTGGAACAAGCCAGGCCCCGAAACTGGGGAGGCCGAGGAAGCAAGGGGGCCGCGGGAGGGATGGGGAGCAGGGCTGGCCGCCTGCCCTGAGTGGTCCTCCGTGGGTGTCGCTTCTTGAGTTTCCCGAGGGAGCTGGCTCGGGGTGCAGTCAGAGTGTCCGGAGGGCTCAGAAGAGGCAGCGTACAAAAAGTAAGAACCAACGTGGGGAATCACGAAACAACACCATTTTAAGAAATCTGGTTAAAAAGAATACAAAAGTGACTCCACAGAGAGGGAGGCCGCGCTCCTGCCCCTCCCACTGCTGTTCCCTCTTGCTCTCCTGAATGGTAAGAATCACTTTTAAGGATTTGTTGGTTGCGCGGTTTGGCCGGTTCTGTTTTTGAATCTCTCCCTTGGCACCTCTCCTTCAACTGCATTCATCTGGGAAAGCACCGGCGGTACAGATTCAAGGCTGCAGAGCTGTAGGGCTCCCTGTGTGAGTGTGTGTGTGTGTGTGTGCATGTGTGCACGAGCGTGGTGAGTGTGTGTGTGTATGCAGTGGCTGTTTCTCGCTCTCCTGCCTGCTTCAGTCCAAGCCCCGAGGTCCCGTCTGCTGGGCGCTGACAGTCTCAGGGGAGCACCCTGTTGGCACTAAGGTAAGGGCTTGGGTGATCTTTGCACCCCAGATTCCTGGATCCCTCCCTACCCAGCACTGGAGTGGGCCCCCAGTTAGCTACAGAGCTTGCCCGTCTCATACTCCACGGGGTTTGGCAGCTTGGAGTTGAAAGCCCTCAGGGAGGACTGGATCCTGCCCACCTCGTTGTTGGCCAGCTTGAGCCGATGCCGGAGCAGGCAGGAGAAGAGGTCGAGCCGGACCTTGCCCGGTGGAGACAGCTGGTTGACCCGGTCCCTAAGCTCTATGAGCTGCAAGAGGGCTGAGTCCTGGGAACCTTGGGTATACGGGTAGTCTAACTGGAGGATTAAGTCCCGGATGGCGTCCGGGTCAAAGGGCAGGCTGTAGCCAAAGACCTGTAAGGTGTTGATTTTCATGTAGCCCAGGTTCTTGGACGGATCGGTCATCTCCAGGGGCTCGTAGTAGATTGTCTCGTTGGAGCTGTCATCCAGGGACTTGATGCGGCTCCGTAGGTAAACATGAACTGTCTCGAAGAAGGTCTTCCACCTGTTTCCCAAGGTGATAGTCCAGTTTTGGCACTGGGCGGCCGCGTCCACGTTAGTCCTTTCCCAGTCGGGGAAGTCGCCCTCGTTCACGGGCATGAACCAGCTCTCGGAGTGGCTGCCCCCGAAGGGGTTGACGTAGATGGCCATGACGGGCTCCAGCGTGCTGTTCTTGGTGAGGCAGATCTGCAGGGACAAGGCCAGCATCACGTGCACCAGCCCGGGCTTGTACTTGTTGCTCTTCAGGGTGAGCAGCATGCGTTTCCTCCAGGATGGGTCGAACCAGCTGCCCAGGCGCATGTCGTTGCTGATGAAGATGGAGTGCACCTCGATGCGGCTGTCCCGCTTCTGCAGCAGGTACTTCAGCTCCAGGTCCTGCAGGTCCGTCTCCAGCCCCAGAAAGTTCTCCAGGGACTCGGCCACCTCTGGGCGGCACAGGCCCTGGGCAAGCACGTAGCCCGGGTTGCAGCTCCCGCAGCGTGTGCTATTGTCCGGAGCGCAGTGGGCACAGGCAGGCCCTTCCCCCAGGGCACACGGGATGGGGCCCTGGCAGGAAGACTGGTCATAGGGGCAGGTGCAGCTGTGGCTCTGCTCCAGGAAGGTGCCGGGGAAGATGCTTTCTCCACAGTAGAGGAGGGACTGGATTCGGTTCCACCAGTAGGACAAGGACCTTGGGGAGGGGAGATAAAAATGAAGCAGGAGTCATAGGAAGCCACACACTGCTGCTTCCCCGAGGGTGGCAGGGGATTGACTAATAGACAGGAAAGGTGATGAGGAAGAGAAAATCCCCACATTCTCTGAATGATGGCAACTCTACCATACCACATTGGGATGACGGAGTAAGGCCTGGAGCTTGGTGTCTGATGGATCAGCACTAGAAAGATTTGACACTGTCCTGAAACAGCTAGGCTCATCCGTCCCGACTACCACCTTATTCAGAAGCCTACAGAAGCTCTCCAACAGCCTCCGTTTCTAATCTAGTTCTCAGCCTCCGAAATACCATCTTCCAAACCCTCCGAGGTCACACCGACCTCTTTCCCACTTCGTGGTCTCTGCCCTTTCTTTCTGCTTCCGTCACTCTTCGCCAACAACAGGGCTTTTCTGTGGCTGGCTCTCTCTGAAGATTTACATTTCAGCTCTTATAATACCCGCCCCCCAGAGGTCTCCTGTTGTGACTCCCCTGTCAAAAGGGCCACCCAGTCTCTCTAGCAGGTCGCCCTGCTTTGATGTGAGCCGTAGTACTGATGCAGTGTTCAGCGTCAAGGACGATTGTTTGCTTATTGTTCACTTGTTCAGAGGTGGCGTCCCTGCAAGCACCCTGAGAGCGCAGACACGGCATTCTTCACCAATATAATCTCAGAAACTAGCGCTGTTCCTGGTGCCTGGTAAGCATTTACTGATTATTTTTGGGGGGGGGGAAACACCTTTCTCCAAAGCCCTGGCCGGTCTGTCCTCTCCACCCAGGCTCCCCCCTTACCTGTGCCGCGGTGGGAGGGGCAGCTCCCCTCCGGGGACGCTCCGTCTCAACAGGCGCCAGTCCCTTTCCATCTCCTCCCGCATGATCTGGCCCAGACCCCCTTCTCTGAGGTGCTTTTTCCTCTCTGGCCTTTGATTTATGTCCCACCAACGTGAACTTAAGTGGCTTTAAGAGGCTGCCACATAGAATTTTCTCGTTTTTATGTCCCTGTGTATTTATTGTATCTCCCCAATTAACAGATATCCCCTCGCTGCTTGCTGTTAGGACAGACAGCGTGGACGTGACACAATCTGTGCTGCGCACACGCGTGCGTGAGGGCCGAGGGCGCGGGGCCTGCTCGCTGTCCTCCTGTGACCCTGAACAGTCACCTGGGGGAGTAACCCCCTGTGTGTATTTCTCATCATATGCAGCTGGTGTCTGAGCTTCCACTCCACCCCTTTCTTTCCTAAAAGACTGACCACAATGGAAGTGAGTGAGTGAGAATGAGAGGATTAGGAGGATAACGTTGGAATCTACTGTAATTTATGTGGAAGTCAAGTTAGCCTCCCTCTCTCGTTTGTCTTCCTCTCTCACTTCAGACACAGCTCAGAGTGGAGGCTGGCACACAGGCGGGTGGAGACGACCGGGGGCTCTCAGAGGCCCCAGGTCCCCAGCGGCCGTGGTGGGCGGCGGGGCGGGGGCTCACCTCTCCTTGGGCAGGCGGAAGCGGGGCTGCCGGTGACAGCGCTTGCACAGGGTGAAGAGCCGGCGGACCAGCCGATGGGTCTTCTTGAACAGCACTTTCAAGCTGGCTCCCAGCTGCTGGTAGCGGTGCTGGAGGCTGGTGTCCATGGCCCAGAACTGGGAGATGGCCGTGGAGTTGAGGAACCTGTCGTCCGGCAGCCTCTTCAGCAGGGCCTGGAATTCCTCTGATGGGCAGAGACGGGAGGGCTGAGCTGAGGGGGGGCCGTGCAGACCCGGGGAAGGCAGGAGCGCCCTCCCCAGGCCCGCCTGCCCTCCAGTCTCTGTGTGAGGGAGGTGGCTTCACGTCCACTCTCCCTTTATTCATTTCTTTTAAAACAGCTTTACTGAGAAATGACTGACACACTGTAAGATACGGCTCCGGGATTCTTAACCATCCTTTCTGTCTCTGATACACTTACGAATTTCAAAACACATCTCTGTCACCACCCACAGGGCCAATGACCTCTTGGGACAATGTCTCTTGACCTTTGCACCTCCTTGTAAGTCATTCACGATCCTCAGTGACACCACAGCACCCTTAGGGAAGGTGTGAGGCACTGGTGAAGGGGCGCGCACACAGTACTGGCAAATCAGGACACAGAAGACCGAGCACCCGGCTCAGAAGTCGTCTTGGAGACCAGCCTCTCCTCTCTACATCCTTCTCTCTGACTCTAGGATACCCTTCCTCTCTTGAGATTGACTTCTTGGCCAGATACCTGTTCTTTCTTAAAGCTGATCCAGAAGCAGTGTGCCTTCTGGTTCTCAGCTCCTACTGCAAGTCTGACTTCATTTCAGACATCCCTCTATACAGCATGTTTTCTGAACTCATGATCAGATCTCTGTCCATGATCTGGAATCTGCTTTCCCTTGGGACCTGCAGCCATCGGTCTCCTAGTGGGGGTGGGTCCAGATAGCCCTCCTCCCCCCCTTAACAGTAACTCGTAGTACTCAAAGCCCAAAGTCATTTCCCCGTGATCGAGCGCTACCTGACCCATCCTGCCCCCACTAGTCTGGGAGGTGGCACGTTCCTCCACTACCAAATGCCTCTTCTAGGGCTGGAGGTGGCAATGCCTGGGGTCTCAGCTCGTTCTGATTCCTCAAGCACCTGGTTCTTCATCCCCTACCCAGATGATTGGAGAACCATGCCTAGTAATGACCTTAACCAATAGCATGGTAACAGCCAGCAGGGCTCAGTTCATTTTATACAACATGTCCGTGTACAGATGAGCACACAGAATAACAAGGTAAACTCCCATCTGCCCACCACAAAGATTTTTGCCATATTGGATTCAGATTTTTTTTTTAAAGAAATAAGGCAAAGCAAATATACTTGAAGGGCCTAAACTTCCCCTTCATCTTTATCTAGATGTTACTCTCTTGTTTTCTTTTTTCTTATTGTATATTTTTTAAATGTTTTCTACAAATATGTCCACAATAATATTAAGTATTGGCTAGTATGTTTTTAAACATCACATAATGATGTACAAAATGTATTACATTTAATAAATTATAGTATTAGATATATTCATATAATATTTGTATGTATATAATACATAACCTTTTTCATTTGCTTTGTCTTATCCAACAGTAAGGGGTTTTGAGATATAGCCATATAATTAGCATTCATTTAGTACTGAAGTACATGACTATACCACGTAGAGGTCTTTATACTGTAATTTTATCTACACTGTCCCATATGAGCCATCCATCCACTCATTATGATCATTTTCCCTCATTTACAGATGAAGAAAGAGGCACTGAGAAGGTGTACGGCTAAATCAAGGTCATAAAACTGGTCCGTAAGAGTGTGTGTTAGACGTTGTAACAAAACGCCACACACTGGTGGCTTAGAAACAACAGATAACGTAACTCTAGAGGCTAGAGGTTCTGGATGCCAGTAGTCGGGGTCTGGTGAAGGCCCTCTTCTGGGTGGCAGGCGGCCGAATTCTTGCTGCGTGCTCCTCTTATGGTGGAAGGGGTAAAGGAGCTCCCTGAGACCTCTTTCATAGGAGCACCAATCCCATTCATGAGGGCTCTGCTCTCGTGTCCTAATCACCTCCTAATACCATCACCTTGGACATTAGATTTTCAACAAACATTCAAACCATAATACAGAGCCAACACTCAAAACACGTCCTCTGAACCTAAGTGTCAAGGTGGCACTGATCTCCATTACACCTGCAATAAGCAATAACAGGCATGTACTAGGCACCTCCTAGAAACACGCTGTGTACTTCATTCATTCATTCACCAAATACTCACTGTGCCCCTTAATGTGCAGGCACTGTGGAATCTGCAACAAGACAGACAAGGCCTGTGCCCTCAACTTTACGTACCTTAGCTTATTAAGTCCTTGAAACACATCTCTTGGGTAGGTATGAGGTCTGTTTGCATATACAACAAAAGAAGCTGACTTGAGACCTGGGGTGGCGATACATAACCTGCTGGAGGTCACAGAGCCAGTTGTTCCCCGTGTTCCTGTCCTGCACCTCACAGCCACTTCCCATCAACAGGGGGAATATCTGGGTCGGCCGACTGCTCACCTGACTCCTCAAACTGCCGGCTGTGCGTCGCCCAGGAGTCCTGGATCTGCAGCAGGCTGTCCTCCATGGCCTGGATGTCGGCGTCGGGACAGTTGCACTGCGGGAAGGTGGGGCTGCACTCGCACCAGCAGTCATTCTCCCTGCAGACGAGCTCGCCCTCGGAGCTGCACGTGATGTAGCTGAGCGCCGCGGCCACGAAGCGCTCCCGCAGGTACTGGGGCAGCAGCACCTGCAGGCCTGGGGGGAGGGCGCGTCAGGGAATGGCCCGGGGGGGACCAGCGGGGACTCAGTTCCCCACACCCACAGCTGCTGGGGCCCTGCCTGGGGTTCTGCTGACGTGTGCATCCTGGGCCCAAGGATGGCCACCCCGGGGCCTGATCCTGCTGAGCTGGCTGGGACGGTTACTGCTGCCCCCATGAGATGGGGAACCTCAGAGCTTAAGGCTTAGTTGAACCCTTCACATCAGCCAAATTGAGAGCGTGCGTGACATATGAACGGGCTTACCGGCTACACATCAGCATTTCTAGGATGGGATGGGATGACATTTCAGATGAAAGAAGAGCTTATAGCCCTCGTGGGGGAAGAATCAAGGCTTGATGGGCTCTTTGCCCCGCCTCTAATAGCCATCCTATTTCTGGCTTCTCCGAGATTAGCAGCAGGCCTCCCACCTGGACGCTGACCCTCCTGGGCCTCCCACCTTAGCCCTGATGACCGAGGCGGCCGCCCGCCGCAGGAGGCAGGGACAGGTGGTGTGGGTATGCAGTGGCCCGGCGCTACACCAAGTCCTTCCCATGTACGACTGCAGGGGCCACTGGCGGTCATACTGAGGCTCTCCAGGTGAGGAAGTCCAAGCCCAGTGACCACAGCGACCTGCCCAAGTCACAGCACTAGCAATGTGACCTTGGTGTCAGACCCTCCCCTTGCCCCCCTGGGTCATCTCATGTAACTGGGACTGCCTGGCCATCTCATGATTTAACCTTTAAGGAGATCTGAAAGTAGGACGGTGGGGGACACCCCAAGTTCAGTCAAGCCTGGAGAGGGATAAACGTGTCTCAGCTCTCTCTCCTGATTCGCTGCTTCTGGTCATGTTTATATTCCACTGAATTGCTCTAAGCTTCCGGTTTCCTACCCATCTGGAGTAGATGTTGGTTTTCCGCAGCAGAATATACTCCGAGTTGGCTTCAAGCCACACGGGGTGGCTGCTGGAAGCGTATCAAGAGATAAATGAAGGACAGACATGCCTTTGGGTGCAGCTTGGCCAGGTTCGAGGTCAGACCTGCAGGAGGCTCCCCCTGTAGGGCCACTGGGAGACACTGTGCCAGGCGAGTGAGGAACACGATGTGCTCCCCTTTCATCAGATGTCTGCCAGCCCTTTATTGTCACACCCTTGACCTTGTCCTTGGCAGGAAATCAGGGAGCCCAAAGAACGTCTCCCAGTCTCAGCGGACCTCAAAACGGAACTTAGAGCTGTGGCTGCAGTAGGCGTGTGCTGTGCTTGTTTGAGACCTACCTCCTATTCTGAACTGCGCCTAAATTTTCCTCTTTTAACGCTGTGGCCGCCAGGGCCCTTGAGCGGTCCCCCCAACACACACCCTGGCCACATTCACTTGCATTCCATACTCATCCCCCTGCAAGTCCTTTCTTTTCACCTCCCCCGTTATCTCCCTCCTCCTCACCATAACATTTCCTCTTGCTATAAAACAAGTGCCCCGAGCAATGTCTGCATGAGTGATGGGCTATAAAATTAAACGCTATAAACTATTCCAAATGAACCGCCAGACACTCTGAACTTCACTCATCGCTAATTTCTAGACACAAAGCCAGCCCATCCAGGGACACGGGGGAAGAGGGGTGCTAACTGCCCTGGGTGGCTTTCAGTGAAGGATTCTTTTCGTCCTTTCGATTATTATATATTCCCTGATTCCTAAAGCATTGAGGGATTGCGTCTGGCTCAGGTTGCCTGGAATTTGTAATCGTAGATCCTGGGTGAGGGCTATTGATTTTGTAATACCAAGACAATAATATCTGAAACAGAGTCCAATTCAGTTAGGCCTTAAGAAGAATGAACTCTTCCCACTGCCAAACAGCTCTGTCTGAATCAGTTTGCAGAGCTCTGCCCCCGGGGTGCTTGGGGGACAGAGAGCAGGAGCTGAATGCCACCCCTCGTCTCCCAGCCTCCAGACCTGCTGGCGCTCCCATTCCTTCTGCCTGTTCGGTCTCTGGTTGAAGCTCCCCTTCCTCTTAAACTCTTCTCCTGGCTTTGATCTCCCATGGAAGACTGCAGACCGGTAACAGAAGGCAGGGACCACGCCCAAGGTAACCAGAGGTCCTACAGTTTGTACAGCTCTTCATCGAGCCAGAGATGGTGCCCCACAGCCACTCTGCAAGGGCCAGCTGTCCCCAGCGTGTCCTTAGGATAAGGCAGAGGGTTCTTTGGGCAACACAGGAGATCACTGAACTAGGTCAAGGCATGAAGGCAGGACAGTGACAGAGGTCTCGGGACGGACTAGGAGGTGGGAGGATTTGGGTGTTGAAAAGCTTGAGCAATGGTCTAGGTGTAAAGTAAACCAGGTAAGATGTTTTCTCCAAAGAATGATAGGAAGTTATTGAATACAGGTCCCCAAACGAGTGGTAGTTCTGGTCTTCAGCTTTTTCCTTTTGGTGAGCCAAGGTTTTTGTTTTTGTTTTTGTTTTTTAAACCAGGTATGAAAAGCATGAAAATCATCACAGCAAAACTCACCAAGTAACTGCACTTTGTTCTCCGGACTCTGGACCAGGACAGAGCTGACCGAGTCCAGGTTGTCGTAGTTGCTGCAGCCCAGGGGGCCGGTCCTGGTCTCTGTGACCTAGAGAAGGAGGGGCAGGGTGTGGGTTTAGATGATGAGCCAAGACTTCCCCTCTGCACGTCCACCTTCCGGTCAGTCAGCCGGTCTCAGGCTCTGTGTCCTGTCCTTGACCCGCCCAAGGAAGGGCACGTGTCTCCCTACCCTGGAAGCGTGAAGCCACTTTTCCCCTTGTTCTAAGACAGCGGGTACCAGTGGCACAGGGCTGGCGGAAGCAGCTGTCCGTAAGTGGAAGGTTTTCAGAGGAAGCCAAAGGGAATCTGTGTCTGGGGAGAGAAAACTCAGCGCAGGCAGAGGAAGCTGGACCCTCAAGCTGGAGTTCCCCCTCATCCTCCCCCAGAGGAAGACAGGAGGCCAGATACGGATGCTGTCCCCGCTGGCGAGCCCAGCTGCATCCACTTGATGTGGTGCTCACAGGCTTTAGGGATCCCAAAGATGAAAAGCACTAGAGAAATATGAGTTATGAGTATTATTATTAATATTAAACATTCAAGTCCCATGTCGGCACTGAGCCGTCCTTAGAGAAAATCGGCCATGAGCTTACTACATATTTTAATAAGTGTATTAAATATACATAAACTCTTATAGCTATGTAATATTCCAAAACACCGTAGAGTCATTTAAAAATATTATAAAGTTGGCCTATCAGTTTTTCCCTGATGTTTAAAGTATAAAATGAAAAATGGGGCGCTTTAAATGCCCTGAAATAATTATGTAGTAAGAATGATGGGGACCTGAGGCCCTTTCTTCTCAGGATCTCCAAAGGCTTTGCCAACAATCAATCAACCAATCAGCGAGTACTTATTGAGCAGCCACTGTTCAATTCCATCCAATTTATCAAACATTCCCAGAGTGCTTTTCTCGGAGTTCTTCAGGAAGTCTGCCCTGACACCTCTGGCCTTCTCTCCTAGCTCCAGGCACCTCTGCTCCGCAGCAAGCACACGCTCCCCAGTGTTCCATCCCTTTCTGTGAGTATCTGGTTCAAGCCTGGGTCCTCCGCACCCTAAGGGCTCCACAGAGGTAAGCTCCTAGTTACTTTGCTCATCATGTTGTCAACAGCAATTAACAGTGTCTGGCACATGGTACTCACTAAATTAGAGAATGTATGATGGATCTGCTCCAGGGCTTGCAGGGTGGAGAGGTGGGCAGAAAGACGTGCAGGTTATGAGTGAGCCTCCCAGGGGGTGTGCCCCACCTTGGGGGGAGGCAGGTGTGTACGCAGCTGACCGATACGCATCCACGCTGAGCAGAAGCAACGGGTCATAGTGAGTCCCGAGGAAGGCACAGCTCTAAAGAAGGGAAGATGTTGCGGAGGAGACACCAACTGGGTTGGTCCTTAAAGAGGAGTAGAAAGTGGACAGTAAGAGAAGAGAGGGGAAGTTCTCTGAGAAGAGGAAGGGGCAGCATGATTTCCGACACATGGGCGTGAAAGCGTGTCGCGTGTGCGTCTGCTACCCGGCTGGGCTAGTCATCATGGTGAATACCAAAGTGTAAGTGACACCTTTAAAGAGAATTTAGCAGACTTCATCTTTCAAAATACACACGGAACAGAGTAATTAAGTGCGAAATGCTGTAGTACTGACTAATAATACGGGAAAGAGAGAGACAGGAGAGATCCTTCTAGCTGAAAGTAGTCAGAGAAGGCTTCTTGGAGAAGGTAACCCATAAATTGGCCTTGAGGGATGAGTAGGGATGGGGTGGAGAGAGGGGGGATTGGGGTAAAAAGAGATGATTGCAGCAGAAGACCAAGGGGCAGCAGAAGACCCAGGGCGTGAGAAGGAGCAAGACCCAGCCGGGACCAGGAGCGGGACCAAGGCCATGACAGGCAGGAACAACTTCGCCACTGTTTCCAAGCTCCTCCTCCGACATCATCCCATTTAACTTTTGCATTAACTCGGAGACAAATCCCGCTGCTATCACTCTTCAAAGAAAACCGAGGTTCAGGGAGTTACAGCAGCCTGAGACCACAGAGCTGCTGAGTGGCTAAAACAGGGTTTTGACTATCGAGTTCTCAGACTCCAGTTCAAAGCCCCCTGTGTCTCCCATGAGGACACATCAAAGGGCTGCCGAAAATTAAAATGAGTTCAACCCATTTCAGTGACATCACTAAAGACAAGTGTGAACAGACCAGTTCATCCAGAATATTTTTGTGATCTGCCCTCTCCTGAGTACATGCACATGGGGGCAGGACACACTGGATAGACTTGAGACATTGTGATGCTTGTATTAAAGGTGAGGAAACCAAGGCCAGAAAGGTTAAATGATTTCTTTGAGGTCACACAGCTAGTCACCTGCCACGCTAGGTTTCATCTGACGCATTAATTCGTTCTTTCACTCATTCATTCATTTAGCACATCTTCAAGGAGAATCCCAAACTCAGTAAGACACACTCACTGCCACCGGGAGTTCACAGACAAGCGGAAACATGTTTCTGTAGGCCTGGTGTTACACGTGCGCCCGCCTCCCTCCACGGGTGGGCACTAGGTGCTGAGTGATAGCTCCGTACTGAGTGGGTGGGTGGCTGGCTGGTTGTCAGACTGCAGAGGGAAGGCAGAGCTAGGCTGATTTCGAGGTAAAGTCTTCTTTATCTATACGGCGTAAACATCCCTGCAGGAAGAGCTGTGGCCAAGACTACTAGCCCAGCCGTTCTGGGGAAGCCGGCCCCTCTTGGGATGGGGCGGGCTGAAGGGCAGAATGGGATGGTGAGCATGGTGCTTGGGTGTTCCCACCTCCAGGTAAACTGGCCATCACACCATCACCACACCGTTCTGCACTGGCTTTTCTATCCACCCCTCCTGAGTTGGTGACTCCCAGCATCAGGTCCAGGCAGGGAGAAAGCTACGTGCCTTATGCAGAAGCAGGGCCACTTCCAAGGGGGCCCTCTCCGCCCTTATCCAACCACTGTCCCTACCGAGCGACCACTGAGCCATCTGCTTCCCCCACCACCACCATCTTGTTCAGCAAGTGAGTAGCTTCACTTTGTTAACTGTGGTGCAAGGATGGGGAGGAGGAAGAGACAAAGACCATGATCCCCCCCGCTCACTCCCTGGTGGAGGGAAGGATTCAAGCCAGATCGCCATGAGTGACGAAGGCTCACCCAGGTTTTGCTAGATCCCAAAGCCACTGCCCTCTCCACTGCTCTTCTGCCCTGAGCCACCCTGTCCTCCCTAGAGGCAGGAAGAAGGGAGCTGGAGAGGCTCCTGTTGCAGATGCTGTCTGAGCACTGACTTGATGCGCACGGTGGGCTAAGGACCCCCTCCCTCCTGCCCCCCATGCAGTGAAAGTCCCGGAGGGTCTGGCAGTTTGGTCCAGAGAGCCCTGTGCCTCTGTCTGGAGAAGAGGCAGGCAGCTTCGGCAGATTATAAAGAGGGCCCACAGAGGTGATGGAGAGTGCAGTTCACTCAGGCATGCAATCAAAGAGCGTCTCAGATAAGCTTTCAGAAAGAGAAAATAATCGTGTGCTAATTGGTCTGTTGTCAGAGACCGTCCTGCCTTCAGAAAGCCCTGCTGGATCTCAGGTTCATTAGCACAGCCAATTTTCCATAAATACCAGATTGTGCAAACCTTCATTCCGGTGCGCCCGCTTCCCTGTCCCTGCCCTTCACTTCCTGGCTGCTCATGTCCTACTCAGGCGGCTGGTGGTGGGGGGTGGTACCTACAAAGCTAAGTGCAGGTAAAATGGGCTTCTAATTGTGAGCGATAGGGCCGGCCAGGAGAGCAAGGCTGACAGACAGGGTGTGTGATTCAAAGAGCTGCAAATTGAATCCCAGGCTGCTGCAGTGAGGAATCTGGACAAGTCGCTTTAAGGATGCTTTGCTTTGTGAAAACCACTCCCTTTTGCTCTCCTGTAGTGCACATGAACTTTTGCCCGGGCTCATTTCAGGCGGCTTAGGAGCTCTCTAACCCTCCCTACCAAGGCCTTCCTCAGCCTTCAGTTACGTACACCCCTCCCCTCCTTCAGGGCTCTGATCCCTTCGCTAGTATTATGCACAGGATGAATGTGCATTCAGCCCTTTACAGCTTGCTGAGTGTTTCCATGTGAACTATATCATTTGGTGTCACCCCCAATCCTATGACCCAGAGTCAGGGGTGACAGTCAAATACGTATCAGCAGGTACAGGGTGAGCTGACTAACCAGAAGAAGTACCAACCGCGGTGCCAAAGCCGGGTCCTGACGGCCTCGCGAGGTGCGTAAGTCCTTTGGTTACTGTGGGGGGAGGTCCAGGGGATCCAGGGGAGGGGTGGAGGCGGTCCACCAGCTGGTATGGAAGTGTTTTGATATTTTAACCACTGATGCGGCCTTATCAGCTGAATGTAAGCCCTGGGCACAGATGGGTCAAACAGTTGGTAAGCCCGTGTCGTGGAGTTCAATAACTTCTCAAGGTCATAGACATAGGTTAGAATCAAGGCTGAAACCCAGTCCCAGTTCTTCTCACGTGAGTAAGTTTGTTTCCCACTAAACCAGGTAGCCTGTCTATCAGGCATTTTACTGAGTGTCTCACCACGTGCCAGATACGGTACGCGTGCAACAGGGTCCCCACTGCTCCAAGCCCCCCTGCTGTGTGTGGGGAGGTGGACACGATCACACCTGCTCAGAGAAACGAAAGGGCAGATATGCTTGAGGCTCTCCTTCGCCAAGGCTGAGCAGGTGAGCAGAGCCCCTCGCCCCCACCTACCTCCATGCAGAGTAATGGCAGCGCTGGAAGCCAGCCCGGCCACCGCGAAGCCATGTGCAGCAGAGGGGGTAGGCGGCGGGCGCTGCGGCACCAGCAGAAGAGTGTTAGCGAGCAGGGATCTGCAGCAGGGCGCCCTTGCTATACGGACAGACGTGGCTTTGAGGGCCGGGCCACCTCGCCCTCTCCCTCCCACAGACCTTGCTAGAAAGGTGAGTCCAGTAAAATTTAAGAGGGGATGATGGACACTTACACAATTCAGAATAAATAATTATCAAGCACCTACTCTGTACAAGGAACTGAGGATAACTACAGTGAACAAGAGACGGGGCAGTGGCTGAGATGAAACACAAAGATAATGTTCAGTCAGGGTCAGAGTCAGCTCCAAAGTGAGGCAAAGCTAAATGGAAGCTGAAGTCACTGGGATACAGCCAGCCTAGAATTAACAGGAAGGAACTTGAACAAGAGAAGCAGGTAGAGATGAAAAAGTAGAGACGTGTGTTCCAACAAGAAACAGAGTAACCTGGGAGTGTTACCATCCTTCACAAGGTCCATGAGTCTGGACTGGATTTAGCATCTCGTTCTTGGAGGTCCTTGATGCTTCTCACCAGAGTCCTCTTCATCTTAATCTTGATGTGCAAGCTACCTTGTTTCTTTCAACTAAACACACTTATATGCCCTTGCACACACACTGAGATGAGCCTAACCCATGGAAAAGTGGGGTCAGTGACTCATTCATTCATTCAACAAACCTTTACTCATTACCCATCACATAGCATGTTGTGTACTCTTCCTGGACACCAGAGATGCCTAAGACACAGTCCCTCCCACAAAAACCTCATAGTCTCTGAGGTCGTCAGATTAGCTAATGATCTCAGTTCAAATGATAATCCCTGTGAAAGAGGCACGTGCTTGAAGCACCGAAGAGGGGCATTTACCTACCTTGGGAGTCCGATAAGGCTTCACCAAAGAGTCACCTTTTTGAGCCGAGTAAAGAAGGGTTAGGAAGAGTTATTCAGGTCAACAGACAAGCACTAGAAGCAAAACACACAGCAGGTGCCAGGGACGGGAGACACAAGAGCATGGCATATGTGAATAAAGACTGGTAGGTAGCTAGACCGGGGTTCCATGTCTGTAAACAAGTGAAGGGCTGAGAGGAACGCAGGGCTCGAGAAGAGTGTAAAAGGATTGTTTGGAGCTGAAACTAAAAAGGCAGCAGGGATAGATCGTCAGTGGCCTCCTGTTAAGAGGAGGAATGATCCCTTTTCAAGCTCCAGCTCTGTGGTGGCTCATGATTTCTATATATTTTCTTATTTCATCTTCACAGAAATCCTTCAAGGTAGAAGTTACTCTGATTTTTCAGTAGTTTTAAGAAGGAGCCAACAGGGGTTCAGAGAAGTTGGGTGACTTGTTCAGAGCCTGGCCGTGAGTAGTGGCAGAGCTCAGACCTGGGTCCGAGCCTGTGTTCTTTCTACTGCGTCCCCTGCCACCCTGGACAGTCGGGAGCCACTGAAGGATTTTAAGCAGGGGGATGATACGATATGATGATTTGCACTCATGCAAGCAGCACAGAAGGTGAACCAGGGAGCAGAGCTGAGTGTGCAGACAGGAAGACTAGTTACGCAAGAAAACTGGGTACGAGTTGGTGAGGGTCTGAATCACGGGAATGGCAGTGGCCATGAAGAGGAGGCAAAGGGCAAGTTGAAGATACATGCGAGGGAGTGATGTTAGTGATGGCTCAGGGGATCTAAGTTAGGCAAAGAGGAAAAGGAGGCCATGGAGGAGTGACGGAAAGTGAAAAGTAAGATGTAGGGGCGTTAATGGGACCGTGGAGTTGGTGATCCCAGCCTACCTTTCATGAATGCATAAGACCAAATCTTCAACTTTGACAGAGCCCACGAGAGGACACAAGGGGTTTCCACAGTGTTCTGTCTTCTTGGTAAAGCCCCCTCTATGCTTCTATGGCCCTTCCATCATCTTAAGCTGCCTAAGATACCAGCCTCCCAAATGGACCCTAAATCCACATGAACTTCAGCCTTCCTCCTCTCTCAGGCTCCCTCCAGACACCGGACATTCCCAAACCTGACCCCTTCTCTTCAGTTAACCTCCACTGTGCTCAATGAGTCTCACGTTCGGTCTGCAGCAAAAATATCTATCACCTTGATCTCTTCTCAAGTGTCTGCCTCACCTTTCTGCTCTAACCACAACCCAGCAGATCTGGAGGACATGGTCCCCCTGCAGGCTTCTCTAGGTGCGGCTGTCTGCTTTTCCACACCTCACACCCCTGGTAGCCCAAGGGAGGAGGTGGGTCTGCCACTGTGACCCTGAACGCTGTGCTTCCTTCCTCTCGAAGCATCTCTGGCTCCTTTGAAGTAGAACCATCAGGATGCTGTCCCCCACTGCCCCTCCATGTTGCAGTCTGGTTCTCTTGTTACTCTCCGTTACTCATTGAGGATATTCAGTCTTTAGCTTGCTTTCCTCCCTCTTTCTTACCACCCCAGGTCTGTATCATTCCTGCTGACTTCAGCACCCATGCAGGTAATCCTTTCATCCCCTGGCCCCCTCACCTCCTCATCTTCTCCCCCATCTTAGCCACCCACACCCATGGCTGTGCCCCAGAACCTGATTTTTGTCGGTAAGTGCACTCCCTCTATAATCTCAATATATTAAGCATCACACATTTGCACCTCCTTTAGTCTCTTCCCACTAACAAGTCATCAAAACAACTTAGTCTTCCAGTCTTTGGCCCTGGCCAAGTTTTCACTTTCTGTCATCCCTTAATGGTCTCAACTCCCTTGATCCATCACTGTCATCACTCCTTTCTATATACAATCCACTCCCTTGTCTATTTTTTCTTTCATCTTGTACACACACACACACACACACACACACACCCATCTTGGTTAGATCCAACTCTCCATCTATTCCATGCCTGCCTGAATACAAACAGCTGAATGTAGCTGATAAAACTCACAACTCTGCTGACTGGCTTCATGTTAATAGCAATGACTGTGAGTCTCAAAGGGGCCCTCAGTGATGCCCAACATTCCCCTCCATTTATCCAGCCAACTGATACACTTCACTCTCTGAAAAGATCACTTCCTCCATCCTTTTCTCAACAACTCCTTCTTCCTTTTAGCCACAGACTTGGCTTGTCTCATCAAGGAAATGGAACCAATCAGAAGAGGAGGTCCGCATCCTCCCACTGCCGCATCCCGCTGCATCTGTGCTTGGGTGCTCTGTACCGCCTCCTGCTACACAGGATGACGTGTTTATGTTCAAGCACAGAACGTCAACCTCTCTCACGTCCTCGATTGCATCTGCAATGATCTCCTGTCTCTCCCGCATCATCACTTTCCCCTGCTCTGCTGAATCATTTCAATCAACTAACCAATACCCTGGAATATCCCCATTTTAAAAACACAGACACCAACTCCCTTGACCCCCCCCCCATCACTCTCAAGCTCTCACCTATTTTTCAACTTTTTGAAACAGCAAAACCTTTAAAGGATAGTTTCTCCTCCTCTGATTCGTCAGTTTGCTCTGTCTCTCTCTCTCTCTTGCGCCTTCTCCACTCAGCCTTTTGTACCCTTCACGCCACTGAAACTGCTCTTATCGGGGCTGCTAGTTCCTCTCCATGTTGTCAAGTTGAAGGTCAGCTCTCAGTCTGACTGCTCCACAGCACTGAACACAGCAACCTGCTCCTTCTTTCGTGAAACACTTCCTTCACATGCCTTGGGGATCTGGCTTTGGTTCTCTTCATACCTTTCTGCTGTGTCTCAGCCTCCTTTGTTGAAGCCGCCTCCTTCGGCGCATTTCTGAATATTGATGTGATTCGCAACTCTAAGCCCAAGGGCCACTTTATTAGCTGCATTCGTGCCTCGAGTGAGCTCATCCATCCTTTCCCACAGTTCTAAATACCAACCACATGTGGGTGTACATTTGTCTGCCACATTTATATCTCCAGTCCTGACCTTTCTCTTAACTAACTTCTATCTAACTGCTGGTTAGAGATCTCTGATCTCTGGTTGGGTACCCTACAGGAATGTCAAACCCAGTATGTCTAAAACCAAATACTTGATTCATTTTTTTTTCAGATTTGCACCTTCCCACAGTGTCATCCGGCCCAAAATCTTGCACTTAATCCTAACTCTTTTCTTCCACTTTATTAGCTAACTCTGTGCGTGCTCTACCATCAGAGGACAACCTGAACCCGCGAGCCTCTCAGTACCTCCCATAACACCAGCGTGGTCCCAGCCACCACTGTCTCGCCTTGACCACAGCAAGAGTTCCTGCATCGGTCTCCGGAACCCCTTGTTCTCCTCTCTTCCCGAATCAGTAAAGCCCTCATCACCTGGCCCCGTAACCACTGCAGCCTCAGCTCCCCCCTCACCCCTTGTTTGCTTCCACTCCAGCTACGCTTGAGGTGCTCCTGGATCAGACCAAACACGCTCCCACCACAGGGCAATGGTACTTGCCTCCCCTCTGTCTATAACGCACTGGCTCAAGATACCCACGGGGCTCACCCCCTCCTTTCATTCGGATCTCTGTCTGGTCTCCCCTCAAGTACCATGTCCCCATCACCCCCTATCCTCTTCCCCAACTTCATTTCTTTATACCATTAATCCCACCTGACATTACATATGTATTTCACTGTGTCTCCCCCACTAGAATTTCAGCTTCCCAGGGGCAGGAACTTTATATGTTTTGTTCACACCAGAACAGTGCCTGACTCATGCTGGGCATTCAGTAATTATTTACTGACTGACTAAATGAACAAAACTTCCTTGTGACTCTTGGATGGGATAAAAGCAGGATATGAGACAAGGTGGACCTTAGCATCCAAACTTCAGATTTTCCTCCTAACTTTAGGAAGAGAATATCCAGCATTCTCAAGCATCTTTACTAGTCTTCTCCTCCCTAAAAAACATGACCTTTCCTAGAACTCTAGATATAAGAAGAGAAGATGGGATGGAGGTTATAGTTAATACAGTTAAAGTAACTGTTGATCTTTCCCAAACATACATGGACTCATGTCACTCCTCTGCTTGTCTTCCATGGCACTTTGACTTATATTAAAATTCCTTATCATAGCCATGTAATCTGGCTCCAGCCTACTTCTGAACTGCATCATGTACCAGCATCTCACCTCCCCGCAGTCACAGCAGCCTTCTCTGGGTTCTACCAAGGCACCGCACTGGTTCCTGCCTCAGGGCCTTAGCACTTGCTGTTCCCTCGGCTCTACATGCAGCTGGGCTTCTAATCATTCAGATCTCAGCCTTAAAGTCTAAACCCAAAGTGCCCTCCCTCAACCAGTCTGGCTACCACCAGCTGCTGCCCTCTCTCACCCCTGGGAGTCCGTATGTTTGACTCAGTCTTTTCTTTATGTCATTACCTGAAATTACTTCGCTGATTTTCACTTGTTTATTACCTTCATTCCTCACTAGAGTGTAACCTCCAGAGAGCAGGGATCTTGTCTACCTTTCCCCACAGTCCCTCGGCCTCAGCCTGCCTTAGGGCAGATGCCACACGACTATTTGCCGCAGAAATGGAGACCCAGACCGCGTGTGAGGGTTGGCTGTGCCCACATCAGTCAGGCCTGGCCGACTCGGAGCCGGTTCAGACTCAGCACCCCCGTCCCTGCCCTCTCTGCCTGCCCGCCCGCTCCCAGTACCTCTCGGGCCGTTACCTTGATGGCCCCTGTGGCTATCTGGATGTGGTGCAGCCGTCGCAGGGTGCTCTCCCTGTCGATGAAGTAGGAGGCCGCCAGCTGGTGCAGGGTCTCCAGGGACACGGCCGAGCTGTTCCCACTGCCCCCGACCGCAGGGGCACTTCCGGCTGTTTCTGACCTTCGGCTCAGTTTCCGCTTGTCCACAAAAATGGTCAGGGACTCTTCGCCTATAGTAAACGACACAGTGCACTGGTGAGGCCGCCTGCCCCCTAATGTCCTACTAATAAGAATGGGAGCCGCTTGGCCAGCAGGGGCGGCGGAGCTAAGAGGGAGCCTGTTGCCCCTGCGGACGGCCCCTCCTCCATCCCTACTATCTTTCAAACGATCTCATCAGACCATCAGACGGTGCCACCGGATAACGGCCCCGCTGCTGGAGAGGCCCTCCTCCTCCTCCTCACTTCTGTAATCTCCCAAGGCTCATCCCCTGCCCCTCCAGCTTATCCATTTAACATCCTCTATTGATCTCTGTCTCAGGCAATCTGCCTCCATGGGGAAGAGAAAATTCTCTCTCTCAAGTTGTTTATAAGAAGTCACAGTGGGTATTTCTGCTCCCTAAGAAAGGGCAGAAGCCTTGAAGCTCTGCCTCCCCTCTCTCCATCAAACACACAACACCTACCACATGCCGCCAGCTGGCCTGAACCCTTGGAGAGTTCCTGTTTGTCTATCAGACAGCGAGCTAAATGTTATAATAAATCCTGCTTTCTTCTTCCCAGTGCTGAGAGAACTCTGCCTTTCCGAGGTTCTGATTCTGCCCTGGGTCCCAGCCGTAGGTTGTGCCACCCCCCACTTACCTCCCCCCTTTGCCTCCACCCAGCCCAGAATCACTGGAATTGGCTTGGCTGGTTACCAGTCTCTACCGAGTGGAAGCAGAGAGGTCAGGGACAATGGATGTTTACCTCTTTGCCTGTGGATCTGACAGCTTTTGCTACAGCCAGTTTTAGGATACGGAGAAACCTTGGGGTTAGGTGGCTCAGTCAAAAGGAAACTGGGAGCGCCCCCTGCTGGCAAGTGCTTACTAGAAGCCTGACTGTCCCCCAACCTCCTTACCCCACACCCCTTCCTCAGGAGGATGCTTATAAGCAAACAGCAGTGTTCTGGATGTCAAGAGGTTACACTGCTGACAAATACACCAGAAAGAGAATGTTTCTTAGTCAATAATAGGCCAGGACAAAGAAAAGACCCAGGAAGAGAACTGAAGCTAAAGTCAGTGGGTCATAAAGCGATTTTCAATGACCTGGCAACCAATGAGGATCAAGATTTTGCTTACCTCCGAGGGTGGCAGAAAGTAAGAAATGAGTGCCGTACTTTTTGATCAGGTTTTCTGTGACCTGCTGCAGGTTGGGTCTCCTTCCGAGGAGACGGATGTTCCGGATGAACTCTGGGGCAAGAGGCAATGGCAAACTAAAGAAGTCCTTCCTTTCTAGAGCCAAGTTGTTCACTTTCCAGCGAGCAAACTCCCTGGAGGAAGAGGGAGAAGGAAAAGCTCATTGTATTTTGGGACAAGAGGCATAAAATCGGCGGCAGGGATGGTCCTTCCTCTACGTGCACTCAGCCCCCTCCTCTCAGCGCGCAGCTCTGCAGGCGGAGGTGCCCAGTGCCTGCAAGAGGCCCTTTGGCACCTGGCCTCTATTTCTCAGCCCATAAGAAAGCCCTAGCTCAACTGATCTCCACCAGCACCCGCTCCCACCCGGCTGTCTCACCGGAGACGAGTTGACCAGCTTATTCATATGAAGACCGTCATGATGGTTGGGAGAAAAAAACCAACCATGAAAATACTGGAAATAACCTGCAGAAATATGATCTAGCCACAGTTGCCAGTGAGTAAGTCGCATCATGGCCTCAGTTACCCATTTTAAAGTCAAGAGCTTGGTTTACAACAGTTCTCAATCTTTTTGGTCTCAGGACCCTATCACACTCTTAAAAATGACTGAGTTCCCTCACAGGAAAAAGAGGGGGAGAAAAATTAGGAGTTTGGGATACACACAAAACAAGGACCTACTGTATAGCACAGGGAACTATATTAAATTTCTTGTAAAAAGCTATAATGGAAAAAGTCTGAAAACGTGTATATGTATGTGTACGTATACACATAACTGAGTCAGTTTGCAAAGCAACTGCACTTCAATAAAAATTTTTTAAAATAATTGAGTCCCGTGTATTTATGTGGCTTATATCTGATGATAATCACCATTTTAGAAATTTAAACTGAGAAAATTGAAATTTATTCATCTAAAGATAACAGCAATAAATCTATCACCTGTAACATAAACAACATGTTTGTATGACAATGTATGTTCTGAAACAAAATAGATTCAGTAAGAAGAGTGGCATCACTGTGCGTGTTGGCAAATCTCTCAAGTATCTGGCTTAGCAGAAGAGAGGTGCGTTCTTGTGTCTGCTTCTGCACTCAATCTGTTGTGATATTTTGAATATTTCTCTTTGGTACCACACAAAGCTCAACGAATGTAGTTTCTTAAAGGTTAGTTACAGGGCGGAGTCTGAAACCACATTAATGAACTTTTCATACTCTGTTACATTAGAATCAGTGTTCTATATTCTATTTTGAATGGATCTTTTTTACTCTTTATGATTTTGTAACATCATGGATTGGTCATCCATCTGGAAAACATGGGACCACTGAGTTACTCAGATCTTCCATATTTTGACATGTTTTATTATGTAATATCAAAACATCATATTTGTTAGTATCACCACAAATCTCATCTGAAAAGTCTTTAAATATTGTAAAGCTGTCAAGCTTAGGGTGACAAATACAAGTTTTCCAAAATTCCAATTTTCATTTGAAAGCTGAAATTCTGTCATTGGTAACAAATACTGTCAGCTGTTTTCCTTGAAGAGGCAAGCTTGCTTCAGTTTCTGCTTTTTTTTTTTTCTTTTTACTTTTAGAAAATGTCTGCCAAACACCAGGCTCTGAATAACCATGGTTTGTCTGTTGGTGGTCCTTTCAAGAAAAACTCAATTCCATGAAAAAAGTGGCCAGTTCAACTCACAACTCAATCACGAAAGTATTTTTCTCCAAGACAATCATCATTCTTCAGTAATCTCAAACACTTTTTATGAATACTTCTCATTTCATCGCACAGTATATTAAAAAGACATGTACTCAAGGGTCAAGATCCAATGATATAAACTTAATAAATTTTACTGCTTTAAGGACTTTTCTGAAGCTAGCCTGCATGTATATGTGTGCATGTGTTTAGATGCAAGTATGTAACGATGAATACGTGAGTACTAGTGTCATCTGGTGAGACAGCTTTTATTCAAATTAAGATGCCAGCAGTTTCATTCACCTTCGCTTGTGCAGCTTTAGTGCAGATGTTAACTGGACATCCTGGAAGGAACTAAGAGGATGCACATTTTGAGAAGGTCTGTTCTAGAAGACAGCAAAGTTCCTTTCCAGTCCCATCTGGAATTTTAATCTTCAAGCTTTTCTACTCACGATAATGTTTGTATTTTAAAGCATGAACTTTAAGTGATCATTTCCAATAATAAAAACAGTTTTTCATTGCCTCTTAAATCATACTAGCAAGGATCAGCCCCGCTGCCTTAGAAAAGCCCATAGTGTGAAGTCTTCTCAACTTTCTCACCCATCCCAGCTCTGCGCTTCATGACTGTGCTAAACCTTGGTCTAACCTTCCCCCTAAATCCACGGAGTACAAATGACAGGGCTGTAGAAAAATAAAATACCTCAAAATAAATAAGTACAAATCCATGCCCATTTGAGGCTGTAGCCATCCCCCCATCTAACTCTGGAAACTAAGAGAGGAAGGGCACATGCCAAACATTACCAGGGGAATAATGGAAAAGGGATGACTAATAATCTGCGGTTCCAAGAAAATCTTTTAATATTCCCGCTGTGTGTCTTTATTTATCTAAGCAGGTAAGTTCATAATAATACATTATCTTTTATTTCCTTTGTGTAGGAAACGCTAAACTTTAAAGTCTAGGGTATTTGTCAAGAGTTTTCGATTCCAAATCCCACTGTAGCATAAAGAACAGTTGCTTGACATCGTTTCTTCATGACCTGATGGCCAATCAAAGACATAGTACAGCTTAATAGATTAAAAAGACAAGACCCAAACTATGTTCTCCATCCAAGACTCACTTCAGCCTTAAGGACATATACTGAAAGTGAAGGGATGGAAAAAGATGGCTCATGCAAATGGAAACCAAAAGAAACCTGGGGTGGCTATACTCATCTCAGACAAAATAAACTTTAAGCCAAAGACTGTAAAAGAGGAAAAGAGGATCATTACATAGTGGTAAAGGGAGCAATGCATCAAGAAAATATAACATTTATAAATATTTATGCACCCAACATAGGAGCACCTAAATACATAAAGCAGGTATTAACAGATCTGAAGGGAGAAACAGACAGTACCACATAATAGAAGGCAATTTCAATATCCCACTTTCAACAACAGAGAGATCACCCAGACAGAAATCGGCAAGGAAATGTTAGGTTTCAACTGCATGTTGGACCAAATGGACATAACAGATATTTATAGAACATTTCATCAGCAGCAGAATAGACTTCTCAAATGCACGTGGAGCATTCTCCAGGATAGATCATATGTTTGGCCACAAAATAAATCTTAATAAATTTAGGAAGACTGAAATCATATCACACATCTTTTCTGACCGCAATGTCTGAAACTAGAAATCAATTAGAAAAAGAAGTCTGGAAAATTCACAAATACATGGAAATTAAGCAACATGCTCCTTAACAACCAATGGGTCAAAAAATATCTTGAGATGAATGAAAATGTAAACATAAACACCAAAACCTATGGGGTGTAGTAAAAGCAGTTCTAAGTGGGAAATTTATAGCAATAAATACCTATATCAAGAAAAGATAAAAATCTTAAATAAACAACCTAACTTTACACCTTAAGCAACTAGAAGAGAAGAACAAACTAAGCTCAAAGTTAGTAGAAGGAAGAAAATGACAAAGATCAGAGTGGAAATGAATGACAGGGACTAAAAAGACAATAGAAAAGACCAATGAAACTGAAGGTTGCTTTCTGAAAGATAAAGAAAGACAAAGACAAATTGATAACTAGACCAACCAAGGGGAAAAAAAGGAAAGACTCAAATAAAATTAGAAATGAAAGAAGAGACATTACAACTGATACCACACAAATACAAAGGGTCATTAAGAGACACTGTGAACAATTTTACACAAACCAGACAACCTAAAGGTTTCTAGAAACATATGTATATATTCTACCAAACTAAAGAAATAGAAAATCTTAACAATGTAATTACTAGTAAAGTGACTGAATTAATAATCAATAACTTCCCAACAAATGAAAATCCAGGACCAGATGGCTTCATTAGTAAATTCTACTAAACATTTAAAGAAGAATGCATACCAGTCTTTCTCAAACTCTTCCAAAAAAATAGAAGAAAAGGGGAAAATTCTATAATCATTTAATGAAGCCAGACTTACTTACCCTGATACCCAAAAACAGGCAAGGATATTCTAAGAAAAGGAAACTTATAGTCCAATATCCCTGGTAAACATAGACACAAAAATCCTCAGCAAAATATTAGCAAACTGGATTCAACAATACATTAAAAGGGTCATACACCTTGATAAAGTGGGATTTATTCCAGGAATGCAAAGATGGTTCAACACCTACTAATCAATTAATGTGATACACCACATTAACAAAACAAAAGATAAAAATCACATGGTCATCTCAAAAGATGCAGAAAAAGCATTTGGCAAAACTCAACATGCAATTATGATTTTAAAAACTCTCAGCAAAGTGGGTATAGAGGGAACATCCTTCAACGTAATAAAGGCCATAAATGACAAACCTACAGATAACATCATATTCAATGGTGAAAAGCTGAAAGTTTTTTCTCTAGGATCAGGAATAAGATAACATTGCCCATGCTCACTTTTATTCAATATGTACTGGAAGTCATAGCCAGAGCAATTAGGCAAGAAATAAAAGTCATCCAAATCAGAAAGAAAGAAGTAAAACTGCCTCTATTTGCAGATGGCCTAATAATACATATTAAAAACCCTGAAGACTCCACCAAAAACTGTTAGAACTAATAAACACATTCAGTAAAACTGCAGGATAAAAAAATAAACATACAAAATCAGTTGCATTTCTATAAATTAGTAATGAAATGTTAGAAAGAGAAATTAAGGAAACAATCTCCTTTACAATTGCATGAAATAAATAAATAAGTAAAATACCTAGGAATAAATTTAACCAAGGAGGGGAAAGACCTGTTCCCTGGAAACCGTAAGTCACTGATGAAAGAAATTAAAGAAGACACAAGTAAATATTCTGGGCTCATGGCCTGGAATAATTAATATTATTAAAATGTCCGTATGACCCAAAGCAATCTACAGATTCATGGCAATCCCTATAAAAATTCCAATGTCATTTTTCACAAAGCAGATAAAGACAATT